CACACACACACACACACTTGCCCAACACCCCGTAGTGCCTGCCGTTGAATATGTGTCTCTTTTTGTAAATCTGTCTGGCACATTTTTGTCTCACTTGTCGCGCATTTCCCTTTTTGTTTCTTCCCTTCCTCATTCCATACATCTGCCACCTCCTCTTCCTCTCTTTTACTCACATTTTGATGAATGCCCCTTAGCACATTTTCTCGACCTAAAAAAAAAAAGACCAACAAAAATTAAACCTGCCACTTAGATGAACTTCCCCTGTTGGTTTGCTTGTCGTCCACCACTTCGTGTGACACTTGCTCTGCGTGCTTATTTGCTGCTGTGGTGGTTTAGCTCCTCTTCACTTTTATTTAACTGCATATTTAACCCGCATAACTGTGCGTGGGTCTTGTTAGTTCATGTAAGCCGTATGCATCACAAAGCCGGGTTACAGTAGCTGCTAAACTGCCAGCCTCGCAGATGAAAGTAGGTTTTTGTGTTTCTGGTTAACTGCATGGCTGTATTGTCACTGCTTGTCTCTTGCTGCATGCTACCTTTTATATTACATGTGGCTTTTTTTTTTTTTTTTTGCTTTGTCTTTTAGTTAAGATTGAAATGGCCATTACCTTCACTTCCTGTCTCTGAAATCTGATGTAATGGGGCATTTATTTTGCACTATTTCTTTTTTTTTAATCCCCCTTAGATAAATTAGTATTTGAGTGTTAATAAATCATACCCTTTATGATTGTTTATGCATGTTTGTGATTCTTAAATGATTTTAAGAATTACAAACTTTACTCTCTTTTTTTTATGTCATTTTGTGTGTCTGCACGCCACCCTTGCATAGGAAGTCAAGCGGTGCACTGGTCACTGTCTCTTTCACTTCTGCTTCCTTTCAGCTCTCAGGAAGAGACCTAATCTCTTTCTCGTGTGCGTTGTGTGTTGCAGTTTGTGTAAGAGTGATTACTCAGACGTCCCTTTTATCCCCTTCAGCGTCAGTGATCCCTACAGTTGTCGGTTTTAGTCTACATATTTTCCCCTCCTGTACCGGAGGTCACTACAGTGTGTTACATCACAGTCTTGTCTTTACAGATATTTGCAATGAAGTCATCAGTTACAGGCAGCTTCTTGAGTAACAGTCGCCTCATCATTCTCTTACTGTCACTTCATCTCATAAACTCTTTTTATATATTTTTTTTGATTTTGTTGCTCATTGCTGGATCCGTTTCCTGTTTCAATTCTGTATTCTATTACTGTCCTTAATGACTTTTTAGCTAGCCGGTTACAACTCGAGCATATGAAGTATAAAGCACTATTAAGTGACAGTATTGGGTGCCTGTCACATCTATACAAGATACTTATTGTTGTATGGGCAAAAACACATGACATATTTTTCTATAAGCTGTTATGTTGTGAAAAGCCTTAGTCATTTTGACGATTTTATTTGAGTTTATTTCCACACTCATCTGCATTTTATACATTGGGTGTGTCATTACCATTAATTCCTCTTTAAGTGGTTATTTTCCCCCTCTTTTGCATATGCTTTTAATCTCTTGAAGTCTTGATTTCACAATGAATTTCCCCATGTCTCAGTTTTTTGCTGCTTATGACATTGTCATTTTGTCCTCAAAGTTGATGTGTTAAAAGCAGGAAACATGGGCAGCGTGAGGATTTGAGCAACTTTGACAAGACTGCAGCTCTTGTGGGGTGTTCCCAAGTCCTGTTTTATAGAGAACAGTGATATCTACATTTGTATTTATCACAGTCCCTGTAACATCCATTATCATAGACCTCAATTTAGGTTTACAACACTTCTATCTAGCAACACTTAATCGATACACAAAAATCAATAGTGCTATTGAGAATCGATACAATACAATACAAAATGTCTTGATACAATATTTTGTGATATTTTCTAATAACCCTACATCGTGTGTACTTTTTTCCAGTGTTTTATTGTGGTTGTACTACTCGTAGAGACTACACCACTGGGTTTATATTATTCATCTGATCCCAGGGTATTCCGTTTCAATTGATTGTTGCCACCTGTGAGGAATCTTTGCTAACTATTCAGAGGTTATTTAGGGGAAGCTGTGAAGTGGACAGCAGTGTTTAAGAGGGCATTGCAAATGACAGTACATTATAACGACCGTGAGTCAAAGCTTAATCTCCTAGTGAAGCATTTCTGTCTTGACGGGGGGAATGGTCTCTCCCCAACTTCTCCCCACAGTGGTCTGGAATGGTTTGGTGAGCTGTGAAAGCGTTAACCACAAGCCAGGGCTGTCGCACGAAGCCTACCCAACACTGGTGTGCGATTCTGGTGTCATAAAATAACTATGCTGCAATGTTTTTGAATATTCACTCACAGTCTTGGTCTAAATAAAAGATGACATTTATCATAGAGCCGGAGGTCGGTGGCTGATTCAGCGTTTAGCTATTTGGGGGGAATTGATTGACAAGGTAATAATTGGTGTTTGAATGGGAATATTAGCAAAACAGTCAATTGTTTTAGTTATTGATTGATCTGTCGCTTGTTGTCCGATCCTTATATTTAGGAATCCGGAAGTAAAATTTGACATTCTTACTTAAAAATAACTGCATCAAGGTGCCCTAGTGGGTAAGTTATGCAACCACAGTGTCCCTACTTTAATTCTGGCCCAGGACATTTGTTACATGTTGTCCCTCCCCCATGTTTCTTGTCTGTATCTCAACTATCTATTAAATGCAAAATGTCATAGTTGCTGATTCATTTCCTGTCAATCAGCTTATCAGTTCTGCTAAATATGTATGCATACAGTGTATAAAAAGCGTGCCTGGGTGCAGTTTTCTCTCTGATGTCACGCTTATATTATCAGGGGTGTCCAGTGCCATGCAGACCCGTGAGCTCAGGAGCGTCCCCCGGGGGTTGTCGTGTCTGTTATATCGTTCACCTAAGCCCCAGAGGTGGGTTATGTCATTTAATGCAAACATATGGAAAAAGAAGCTACTTTAGCACGTCCATGCAGATACGTCCGAATTGTTTGAATCAAACCACAGCTTTTGAATCAGTTTGGCTCGAATTGTCGTTTTTTTTCTTTTTCTTTTCCTGGCTCGATTTAGGAAAAGGAAATAATTTCCTCCATGTGGTGTGTAAATGGTATCAGATTGCATCGGATCAGTTAAACAGCGTCAAATGTTTGGAATCCTAGGATTGTACCTCCATCATTTTCGGTTATACTCGCCGGCGAGTAATTTAGAAAATACTGAATAAACAACGGCGCACAATTTTGTGTTGCTGTGAGACTCAAATGGCAGCCGTGTTCCAGGAAAATAATTGTCTCATCACACAGTGAAGTGAGAAAGTAAAACATTTCCCAGTCCATTATGAAATGGATAAACCCTCTCAGCCTCCTCCTCCTGCTGCTGTACCACCTCCCCTCCCACCCACACACACACACACACACCAACCAACACACACAACTCACCTGTGAGGGCCGCCTTGCCTTTGTCATAGACGAAAGGCTGGTCTAAACCAAGCGTGCGGTCCAGTAATTGCTGGGGGGCAGAGTGGAAAGCTTCGTGTGTGTGTGTGGTGGTGTGTGTGTGTGTGTGTTGTGTCGTGCGTGTGTCGTGTCTGAGTGGGAAGCCCTCCTGAAGCACCCAGCCGTGCTCCAAGGTGTCATCGACGTCTGTGCATGTGCGCTGATTGGTCAGGCGTTTAACTGTCCGCACGTGTTGCGATCGTCTTACGTTGTGCATCAAGTCGATCTTCTACCTCCTTGCTTTTCCCTCAGCACTCCAGGCGAAAAGCTCCGGGCCTCTCCCTTCCAAAAAAATTAAGACACCGACAAAAACAGGCGAGAAAACCTGCACAATACATTTCTATCAGGCTTGTTGTCGATACAAGGAGGCTCTGTGGGGGGAGGGCTTGGACCCAAGGCAGTTGACAGAAGTAAATTGAGCATGGACCCTTCGCGCCACATCTTTACGGAATGAGAACTCTTTGCTGGTCGAGCTCAGCCCTCCGTTGTTTTTGTCTTTTTTCCAGCTCTGGTGTTTTTCCTTCTCTTTTTTCCCCTTGCCCGTTACGCGTCCCTCCAAACCTACGTCTTCCCCCCACCAATCTCCTTCTCCTTCTCCTCCGTATTAACCCCACCGTTTTTTCCTTGCACCTCACTGCGTCCCTCTGAGCCGGTCATTTCAACGGTTCACCCCCACCCACATCGAAAAAAATCGGACCCAGCCTTGGGGGAGAAGCATAGCTTTTTTGGCCTAGCCTAAGGACTGTCGCACCGCTCTGAAGGCTTCCAGAGGGCTCATGAGAAGTGCGTGTGTGCGCTGTTTCTGCACATTCCTTATGGCTTCATTTTATTTATCCGTCTACATGTTGCTTTAAAACCGGTCGCTCCGACCCGGAAGTACACGAGTGAACACCCCCCCCCCCCCCACACAACAAACAAACCACACCCCACACACGACCTCGAGGCTGCCCCTCCCGCTTTTGAGATTCTTAAGTTTTCAACCACTCCCCAGTATCACTTCACATCTTCATCTCCCTGGATCAAAAATGGGCCTGTTAATGAAGAGACCATGCTTTTTCTCCCTTTTTTTTCTGTCTCCCTCTTTTCATCTTGCAGAGAAGCGATGAGGAATTACCTGAAGGAGCGAGGTGACCAAACTGTCATGATCCTGCACGCAAAAGTTGCACAGAAATCCTATGGCAATGAGAAAAGGTGAGAGAAATAGAAACGGCAGCTTCGAACCCCTAGTATAACTCATCTGTCAAGAAGTTTTTGAAGGTTCATAGATGAAAATGGCACCCAATTTGTATCAGTATGTCAGATGTCTGTGGATCTCTTTCCAGTGTAGGATTAACACTTCAACACCAGTAAGCCGCAAGTGATGTTCCTTTGTGAGCGGAATAGAGGAATCATCCTTCATCGGGAAATACACTTTCTTGCTGAAGGGTCGACAGCACTCTCATTTCTGTTTGATAAAGCCAGCTAGCCTAGCTCTCTGAAGGTAACAAAATCGGTCTTCTAGCACCTCTAAAGGTCACTAATTAACATTTTTTTATCAGTTATTTCATCCTTTGTTTAATCTGGACAAAAACTGAAATGTAAAAATCAATTTTTATTTGGCTGAGAGCAGTCTAGCCACTTACCCTAATTTCCAGTCTTTATGCTAAACTAAGTTAATCGGTGGCTGCCAAAATGTCAGACTATTCCTTTTTTAGGAATTTGTCCGACTGCAATTTTGATTCCTTGATTTAATCTTCTTTCCAAATAAGAAGTAAACAGTGCGGATGAGTCAACCTTTTTTAAGATCAATGTTTAAAAAGCCTTTACACACACTGACCTTTTGTTCAGTACACTGATTGCAAAGGGAGTTAATAACATAATGTAGAAACACAAACTTGGCCTCGTCTTCTAACCCTTTGAAACGTGCACCCCCTTCCATGCAAGGCTTTACGGACGGGTAACGTATGTCACTCGTGGGGGATCTCAGACTAAAGAGCGAGTGAAAAACGCACATTCCAGCTTCTTCCCCTCTGTGCAGCGTTGGCACCTCGACCCTTACGACCTCCCGTATCAAACGAGGTCAGAGGAGGAAATGAGCGGCGACCTCCTGTTTGAGGCCACGTTCAGGTGAAGGCGGAAGGAAAAGGGAGCGAGGGAGGGGGGGAGTTAGGAGCGATGGGAATAGGGGAGATAAAAGGCTCCTGGGGGAATATAGCGGTGAAACCAGGGAGCATTTAGGGTTAAGGGTTCAAGGACGAGAGCATACAGGTCTGAGGTTCACAGGCCAACATAAGCCGTCTCGCTTTGTTGTAATTTCCAAGTGCAGCGTGATGACTGGCTGTCGCAACCCCTACTCTTTTTTTTCTCTCCCTCTCTTGAACTCTGCAACTTCTTTTCTTCCTCAAACCCTTCCTGTAACTCTGCCTCTCACCTTTCCACCTCTAACTCTCAAACTTTTTATAGCTCCCCCCACCACCCTTCTGCTCTTGCTCATTATGCAACTCTCTTCAGCGCTCCATCCTCCGCCTGTTTTCTTGGCCTGAGCTGCCAGCGCTGCTTGCGATCTCATCAGGCGTATATCTCTTGGTAAATCAGCCCGTCGCAGGCCAACTCCGAGACACCTCGGGAGAGCTGGAGGAGAAAAGCCGGAGGAGAAGAGGGGTTGAGACTGAGACGAATACCTCAGATAAACTGTCTGGTCCAGTTAAAGTGACACCTAGTGAGGCAGTGAGAGGAAGCATTCGAACACTGACGGTGCCAATGCTGGGCTAAAAGTTAGGTGCTCAGTTTAAAACCACACCATCATCCAGCTGGATCACAAGCAAGTGTCTGAATGAGTCTGCTTAAGCAGTCTCAAGGGGATTTCTGCTGTATTACAGTCACAATCACTATATTCACTTCACCTATACAAAGTCAGGTTTCTTCCCCTGTGTGCACGTCAGGGTTTCAACATCCTTTCACTTGCAAAACCCCGCGGCGTTCATGATGCTGTGTGGCACCTCCGATTGCTCCTTGCCCGTATCGTACGTAACAAGGGGAGCCCAAGGAAAGTGGGCGCGTGAAGAATGCAAATGTGCCGTCTCCCTCTTTCTAGCTGCCTCTTTCTGTCTGCGCTTTTTATAGGAGGTGAAAGTAGACAAACACCCACAGAGACAGACACAGTGTTGCGAAATAGGTCGCTTTCCAGTTCCACACTGACGCACATGAATTTATTTGAAGTGTGCTGCTTCAGTGATGAGTTGATTTCACATTTTGATCAGGCAAAAGTTGACTTTTTTTTTTTTTAATGGAGTACAGTACATGACATTAAAAAGTTTTTCAAGGGAGGGGAGAAGGAAAAGTATGGAATCCTGAAACGGGGGGGAAAGGTTACCTTTTTCTTGAAATTCTGGTTTATATTCATTTTAACAATCAGTTGTCAGCAACAGTCAGTTTCATGCTGGACATGCTTGTGTTAACATCTGCTAGATGAGGCTCAACAGCTTGAGGAAGGGTGTTTAGTTTAATTGTACATAAGAGTATGTTGATAAGTTTGTCTTGTTGAAGCTTAGTGCAGGTCTGCCCTCTCCTGGTGGAAATGAAGAGATGCACATTGTCCAGTTTATAGATTTAACAAGGTGTTAACACTTGTTCTTGTTTAGTCACTGACCTTGAAATGTGCTTTTCAGAAATATTATTTCTCTGTAGACAAATAATGTAAAAGCTGATCTTAAAGCCACCAAACCGTATGACCTTTTTTCCTCCTACATCCAGGGAAGTGTATTAAAAACATACTTTTACATATTTACAGGCTGCAATATTAGTTACAGCAAAAAGGCTCACAAACATATCTTGTGGCTCATGCTTTAAGCATCTGCTCATGTAAAACGACTTGCGTGTATACAATAATAATAATCTTTCAGATAGTTCTGTGCGGTTTGAGCCCAAAAATTGCTAAATCTTTGCGCACATGTCCAGGTTCTTCTGCCCTCCTCCCTGCGTTTACCTGATGGGCAGCGGTTGGAAGAAAAAGAAGGAACAGATGGAGCGAGACGGCTGCTCCGAGCAGGAGTCGCAACCTTGTGCCTTCATTGGCATCGGCAACAGCGACCAAGAAATGCAACAGCTTAACTTAGAGGGAAAGGTACAACACACATACGCACACACAAACACACACACACAGTGTCACTGGCTACACACCTTCCCTCCTGGCTCCTTGGAGTGATAACACAGTCTTGGGTGCATTTGAAGGTTAATAATTCCATGTGACGAAGATGTAACAGATGATGTGAAACGATCTAATTTGTCCTGATTTCTTTTCCTATACCCGCTCCTTCCTCTGCCCTCCCCACCTTGTCCACCAGAATTATTGCACAGCCAAAACCTTGTACATATCCGACTCCGACAAGAGAAAGCACTTCATGTTGTCCGTCAAGATGTTCTACGGCAACAGCGCAGACATCGGCGTCTTCCTCAGTAAGAGGATCAAAGTCATCTCCAAGCCCTCCAAAAAGAAGCAGTCCCTCAAAAACGCTGACTGTAAGTTTGTGTGTGTGACTGTTTTTTTTGTCACTTACTTGTGCCTCGGAGACTTTTGCTCCTAAACTCTTTGTCGATAGCTGTTGCAATTAAACATTTGGCCTAAATGTTTACTTTCTGGGTACATCAGTGTTTAACTGTAAAATACTTTTGTCGGCTGAAATGGATTTGACAAAAGAATCAATGCACAGGAGGTGTAAAGAGAGATAATATCAGTCAGTGAGGGACACCATTCGTTTAACAGACTAAAACACACCATCATAATTTTCTACTCACTCGTTTAAGCCTAAGATTGAAATGGTTATGTTAATGTTAAGCTAATGTTATAGTAAGAATACTGCTTTTCTTTATAAAGGATGGCGTCTGGGGATCTGAATGTCTTTTTGAGACAGGCCTGGCCTAAATGGCAACACAGGGCTGATACACATACCAACGCAGAGACTGTAACCTAAAGGAATAAGAAAAAGGAAAGAACAAAGGATAAAAAGAGGGAAAAATAGAAAAGAAGGCAGGTAAAAGGTATAAAAGCACACTGTTTTTCCCAATTTCCATCTTTTAATCCGTATCCTGACTATTTCCAGCCACTAGAGGGCAGCGTAGCTTCACCTAAGAGTCCAGCAAGCCGGTTATGTCACATGTAGCACACCTGTAGTGTACACATCACCTCCTCTGCAAAGATCTGTCACTCTGTTAACACAGCTGACCTGTGAGCAGCATGTCGGTGTATGGCTCATTATGTAACCTGCCGCTGTCTGCGCTCCTGTTTGTCCACAGTGTGCATCGCATCAGGGACCAAGGTGGCACTGTTCAACCGGCTGCGCTCCCAAACAGTCAGCACGCGCTATCTACACGTGGAGGGCGGCAACTTTCACGCCAGCTCCCAGCAGTGGGGCGCCTTTTACATCCACCTGTGTAAGCCACCGCTCAGCCTGAGCCGCCGCTGCAACACAAAACAAATAATGCATTTAGAAAAAGCTCGGAACCACACAGAAGTTCAGCATGAGTAAAGTGAGGAATGCGGTTTGACAGCTTTCACTTTATCTTCATGTCTCTCTCTCTGTTCGCCGTAAATATATAACCCACGCGGTATTATAGTAATGACACAGCTGATTCATCACTGACAATGAAAGTGATTGATTGCCTGAATGCGGGGGTTTGTGTGCATAGAAAAAAAAATATCGAGGCTCGTGGGTGCTTCGCCCACAGCGCTGACTTCTCCTTTTCTTCCTTTCCCTGCGTCGTGTGTTTCCAGTGGATGACGAGGAGTCAGAAGGAGAAGAGTTCACTGTGAGAGACGGTTACATCCACTACGGCCAGACAGTCAAGCTGGTTTGCTCTGTCACTGGCATGGCCCTGCCCAGACTGGTAAAAAGAAATGGATTATCTGAGATTAGAAAGTAATAGAAACTCTAATGATCCCAGTGGGGGGAAACCTGATTCATTACAGCAGCAGCTGATATTAAAATAAATGATAATAGCACCAGAATCATTGCGAATAGGAATTATTTAAAGGAATCATTTGACAACTTTGTCAGAGAAAATCAGAATTGGATTGTGTTTCTGTTTTCCTTATCTTAAAGGGATACAGTACTATTTCTTGTTGTGGCATGGTGGGTGGATCATAATGCTTTAGGGCACAGCCAGGCTAACTGTTTCCCCCGTTTCCAGGATTTAGGCTAAGCTAGGCTAAGCTAAGCTAAGCTAAGCATCTCCTAGCTCCTTAATAGACAGATATGTCAGCCTTCCTCTTCTAGGCAGGAAAGCGTTCCTTTAAACTATTCCTTTAACATCAGGTAACATACAGACCTTGTTTGTCATACGTTATCCTGACAAAGTGTGTTTTTCTCTAGCTCTCCTTTCTAGTCATAGTTATTTGTGATGTCTTTTTGCCTTCCTTCTGTCCGTGCATCTGTCTTTACTGCCTTTCTTCCACCCTCATCTTCCCCGCTGACTCCCTTCCAAATAACGTGACTTTTCTGCCTCCCTTTCCTTAATTTATTCCTTGTTTTCTTTTTCCTATCCCTCACATTCTCCCATCCATCTTCCACTTGGCTTATCTCTCTCTCTCTCTCTCTCCCCCTTTCCCCGTCAGATCATCCGTAAGGTGGACAAGCAGACGGCGCTGCTGGACGCCGACGACCCCGTCTCCCAGCTCCACAAGTGTGCCTTCTACCTGAAGGACACAGAACGCATGTACCTGTGCCTTTCCCAAGAAAGGATCATCCAGTTCCAAGTTAGTGACTCGCCCTTAAACGCTTTCACATCTGTCATCCCTTCACTTGTTACACATCAATTCAGGCCTGACGTCAGTTCACCCTCAGATCCTGTTCTTCTTATCCTGTTCCATGATGATTGAGGATGATTGCTTTAGCATTCTGAAATAAGCAGTGAAAGGTTTCATGGCTGGATGCCACTTTTTCTTTGAAGAAGAAGCAGTCCACTCACTTCCCAGCATTTTTTATTTTTTTTACTTATTTAGACAGATGTAAGGCCAAAAATGGACATTTGATTGCTGTCTTGAAGAGAGTGGTCTTGATTGGGTGAAATTGTTGGTGGTTATTTCTGCCTGTCACGTGCATTAAGGTCATATCCCCCCCACTCTTTCTACTAGGCCACTCCATGCCCAAAGGAACCAAACAAGGAGATGATCAACGACGGCGCCTCCTGGACAATCATCAGCACAGACAAGGCCGAATACACTTTCTACGAGGGCATGGGCCCCGTCCACTCGCCTGTCACCCCCGTGCCTGTGGTAGAGAGCTTACAGGTACACACCGAAGAGTCCACATACCTGACCGTCACACTGTAGGTTTAGTCCTTTTTTTTAAATCTGCAAGGTTACTAAAGGATCTTATTTGTCTGCAGCTCAATGGCGGCGGCGACGTCGCTATGCTGGAGCTGACGGGACAGAACTTCACTCCAAATCTGCGGGTCTGGTTCGGAGACGTTGAGGCTGAGACCATGTACAGGTGTGCCTCTGCTTCCCTTTCATTTTTCTTAAAGTAAATGAACCAAAATCAGGTTTGACCTTTTTGTTCTTTCGTGGTGCTCTTACCCCTTTTTATGTGCGCTGTAATTTACCAGGCTACTTGAAGGGCTCTTTTTTCCTTTTTCATTTCCTCTGAAAAATGAGATCCATTGTCTGCCCCAGACTGGCTAGAAGTTCTCCTTTTTTTGTTCCTATTAGAATACAAATTGTCCATTACAAATAATTTGAGAATTTATTAAGTATCATACAGTTAGAAAATGATGGGCTTTAGGTTTAATGAATATAATGAGAACAGGAATAGTATTGTAATTTGAATTAATAAAAGCTTTCAAAATGTTTCCTGTCAGGCTTAATGCCACAGTGAATCCTGCGAATGCCAAACGGCACGATGGCCTAATGCAAGGAGTAAATACTCATCTCAGCTTCTAGTGATTCAGCCGGCGCTAAATCACACGAGTCAAGTCGTAAAATCCGTCCATCCTTCGTCTTCAAACCGGTGCAGTGAGTGAGCCAGAAATGTTTTAAGAGCAACTTGTAAAATGCCACTGCTTTGGCTGTTCCCTTTTGTCCTGTTGAGTTTTATAGACGGATGGGATTTTATGTGTTTATAAGTACCACCCACCAAGCATCAACTTGAAAGTCCACGATGACCGCTGTCAGCGAAACAGTGGGACCTCCCTGACTGCAGACCTCTGAAATGTTTCTTTGTGTATTTTGAAGTTTGCTTTTTGGAGAGTTATTTGACAGTGACAGAAGAGATACAGACAGGAAATGCAGGGAGAGAGACAGAGGGGGACGTAGTGTATAATTAGAAGTGTTTCATCAGGTATTTGATTGGCTGGATTATCGAAAAAAACACACATTCTCTTTGGGTGTTTCTGAGCTGAACAGTTTCTCAATTGATTTTCCTAGACTCAGGTCAATGTTCACATTATGTTCATGTTGTTATTTATTTATATATATTGTTGTGGTCCAAGGAACACCTTGTATCTTCGGTTTCTTTAGTGATTTTGAATTGTCCAGACCAGCTAGAGGTTTGTTTCTGAGACCTTTTTCCTACCTCGTAAACTGAATAAACGTAACTTAAAAATCCCTTCGTCTGCGGCTTAGTATCAAGAGCCTAAAAATGCCACACATCAATCACTCTTTGTGTCTCTTTCCCACCGAACGCTGCTCCAGGTGCGCGGAGAGCATGCTGTGCGTGGTGCCCGACATCTCCGCCTTCCGCGAGGGCTGGCGCTGGGTGCGGCAGCCCGTCCAGGTGCCCGTCACGCTGGTTAGGAACGACGGCATCATCTACTCCACCACACTGACCTTCACTTACACGCCGGAGCCCGGGCCGCGGCCACACTGCAGCGCCGCCGGGGCCATCCTGCGGGCCGGAAGCTCCAGCCTGCTCAGCAACAACAGCCAGGAGGCCGGCCCCGGCGTCTACGGCCCCAACAGCACCTCCAACGCGGGAGTCACATCCTCATCCTCCACCGCCGCGGCCGTGGTCTCCTAACGCACACAGGGCGGCCACTCAATATGATATGCCTTGAGAGAAAACGTACCACAAGGTATACAAAGACTATGGGAAATAATAAACAAAAACTGACTCACTCTAAAGTGCTGCGTGTTAATTTTGGATACAAAGAAGCTGAAAAAAAAAAAAAAATTGGCGGGAGAAAGGAGCTAACGCAGGGGAAATCTGAAGGAGGAGTGACATCACGACTTTGTCAGCCAATGGGAATAAGCAAAAGTGCTCCTTGACACGCCCCACCCCCCACCCCACCTCTCCTGTGGTTACCTTAGGGACCTGCCTATCCAGTTCTGGTGTTTTGGAATGAGTGGAAGTTCCTGCAGGCTCAGAGCACCAGCACCTTTCTACAGCTGTGAGAACGGAAACACCACGACAACAATACATCCACCGTGTACAAAAAAAAAAACTCTCTTGAAAGGAAAGTATTTTTTTGTTTTTTTTGTTTTTTTTGCGCTTCCCTCCCCTCGACCCCCTGCCCCTCCCACCACTCGTTTTATAATTATTCCTTTTTGTTGTTTTGTGTTACTTTGCCTTCATTTGTGGTTTCCTAAAAGGGGGCTGGATGTATTGTTGTCGGAGGGAGCGCAAGGATGCAGAGGGACACACATAAAACGTGACGATAACATAGTTTTTATGGACCAAGGATCTTGTATAAGCTTTAGTAAAGGTACATTTTTCTCCATACCTTTTTTGTATTAAACATATAGTACACTTTTGTTACCAAATAGTTTCTATTCTTCCTCTGAGCTTGGGCTTTGTTTTCCCCCTTTTTTGAGGTCCAAAATCCCAACCTCTATGTTATTACGACCTTACTACAACGCCTGCTTTTTTCAGTCCGTGGACTGAACTTTGTTTTGATACTCTTGCTTCTTCTGTTGGGGAGAAAAAATCTGAAGTCTGGGTTGTTTATTTACATAAGCGAAGGTTGTTGTTTTGTTTGTTTTGTTTGTTTTTGTTGTTGTTTTTGAATTGGGGAATAACCTCAGAGGGCCTATGTTTTATCATTGGTTTTTATGAAGTCTTTAAAAAGAAAAGCTTTAAGCAACGCCTCTGCCTTGCCTGCAATACTCTATGTGCGCTATGTCTCCTTTGGAAAGTATACACATCAGTACATCTCACATGGAGCCATAGCAACATTTGCAGAATACATCAAAAACTAGACTTCCATGGTTATGAAAACAAGTCAGTTTTGTCATTTTTTCAAACTAATGTAATAAGCGTAGTCATTGACTTAAAAAAGGATAGCCTTAGTACTGTATATTCTTACTGTGTACACAGTCAAACCGGTCACATATCTAATATCCTGTATCTGTTGCTCTATTGGTCACTGTCAATGTATCAGATAATGTAGTGAAACTTGTCTCTCAAACACCCAGCGAGGTGTCTTCCAACGTGTGCTGTAGGTCTGGTGGCATTTAACTCCAGTGGTTTTTCCAAAAAAAAAAAAGAAAAGAAAAGAAAGACGGACACTTTTCAATTTGATGTGGCCTTACTGATAACTTCAATTACAGAAAAACAAACCAGAAAACACTTCACCTTTTTTCTTATCTGCTGTTTACTTCACCTCGGAGGAACCTGTGCATAGCACAAAAACAAAGCTAATGCCTCGCTTCGTATCACGGGAGCTCTCGCTGTTCCGAGCTCGCCGCTGCGGCTCCAGAACCACCTTGTCATGCAAAGCAGCCTTCTGAAGGATCTCTTTAGCCTTCGTGTTCTTTTTTTGGTGTACAAGTACAATAAGCCCGTTTTTTATTCTCATGCGGTGCCCAGCACCTTTTCACTTTTTGGTACAATGTCTCACGAGCGCTGTAAGCTCTTTTCAGCCTTCTTTTTTTTAACAAAAAACAAAAAAAATCTCCTGTGGTTTTATTATCTCTGCAGAAAACAAGCGTGTGTACATTGTAAAACTCACTGTCCGAGTAGTTGCACTCATCCGTGTTCATGGCGACCGCGTCTCCCGTAGGAGCATAAAGGCCTTCTAAATGTGTATTATTGAAGATGTGCATTTCCAAACATAACAGCAATATTGTACAGGTCATTTCATCGTCTTTGTCCGCCTGAGCACTAGTTCACCAGCCAGCAAACGTGTGCGTGTTGTGTGTGTGTGTGTGTGTGTGTGTGTGTGTGTGTGTGTGTCTGTCATATATAGTTGCTGTAATGGAATACTGAGTCAGACTCGCTCCATTTCAAAGTGTGCTCCAACTGCTCCCAAAAAAACAAACAAACAAAAAGAAAAACCTCGAGGATTCATGGGGTTTTTCTGTCTTCCACCAGAATCCAAATGTCTGATAATTGTGGATAAACATTCAAAGGCAATACTTTGTGATTTTTTTAGTAGTATTACAGTACAACTGTATACACTTCTGGGGAATAAGAACAACGATACTGTAACTTGAATGTCTGCTTAATGAAGTATTTCTGATTTTTTTTTTCCTTTCCTTCTTTTCGGTCTTTCTTTCTTTCTTTACACAAACAACACCTTGAAATAGGAACCCA